TTCTTTATATTTATTCCTGGGGTTAGAGGTATTCTATAGTCTGATGTGAGCTCTTCCAGAAAGTTCTCAGCCATTATCTCTTCAAATATGTTTCTGTTGCATCTTGCTTCTCTTACTGGGGCTCCAGTTGCAAGTATATTAGACCTTTACTTTGTGCCACGTATCTCTTAGGCATTTGTTTTCCATCCTTTGTTCTTTTTCTATTTCAGTCTGGATATTTCTCACTGACCTATCATCAGGTTTACTAATCATCTCTTCAGTTGAATCTAACCTGCTGTTAAATCCAATTATATATATTTTCTAAGATTTTTTTTTTCTACTCAGTTTTACGGCTGTGCTGTTCCTTTCTTTTGTGAAAGGTTATTTAGCCCATGACTTATGCCTCTGTGATGATGAGTCACATTGTGTCTCTACTTACATTGTACTGACAATGTAGTGATGATTTTACTTATACTTACTCCATGAATAGAGTGACCATATCCTGGATGCTGAAGAGCTAAATTACCACTAATAAGACCAATACCAAAATGCAAATAAATTGTCAAGAACAAGTTCAGCCAGAATTGATCTGGGAATCAGTTGTATTCCCAATTGTTATTATTGTTTGTAATGTAGATTACAAACAATAAAAAGCATTTTTAATGAAGAGACAAGCATACTAGGGCATGCATGACATCTCAGGAAAATAAGCCACATTATAGGATTTACCAGGTATTACCAAATTTTTTTGTATAATCTGAGTACAGTTCAGATGCTATATTATTTTAGCTAGCTACTTAGGATGTTGCTATAAAAATTGTGTGGCATGGCTCTTCAGGAAGCAAGAAAATAGTGGGAGAAAAATTTGAATACTGAGCACCATTCAGTTAGCATTGTTTTTTGTTTTTTATAAATTTATTTATTTATTTTTGGCTGTGTTGGGTCTTTGTTGCTAAACGCAGGCTTTCTCTAGTTGCAGTGAGCGGGGGCTGCTCTTTGTTGTGGTATGCAGGCTTCTCATTGCTGTGGCTTCTCTTGTTGCAGAGCACAGGCTTTAGGCACGTGGGCTTCAGTAGTTGTGACACGCGGGCTCAGTATTTGTGTCTCACGGGCACTAGAGCGCAGGCTCAGTAGTTATGGTACTCAGGCTTAGTTGCTCCACAGCATGTGGGATCTTCTCGGACCAGGGCTCAAACCCGTGTCCCCTGCAGTGGCAGGCGGATTCTTAACCACTGCGCCAACAGGGAAGTCCCCAATTAGAATTCTTTTTGTTTTATTTTATTTTATTTGAGTCCCTAACTTGTACTCATGTATTTTGTGCTAACAGAAATACAGAGATACAATTTCTGGTCTAAAAAATCATAACATCTAATGGGGAGAGTAAAAGAAATAGGGCACATTTTTTTAAAAAGGAAAGAAAAAAGAAAGCAAAGTGAAATATATGCCACAAGAGACATACAAATAAAGTACTCCAGGTTTAAAAGAGAGTAGGGACTCAAATTATGGAAGATCACATCTAAGTGATCTGTGATGTGACCTAAGTGGGAGGATCTGTGCATAGAGAGGGGAGTCAGGGGAGAGAGGGATGGAAGAGGAATTTGAATGGTGTTGAATGCTAGGCAGTCATAGTTTATTTCAAGACATAATGGATGATGTTTCTAATCAAGGTAATTGTATGAGTAGAGCTATACTTTAGAAAAATCACGTTAGCTTTATAATGTGGAGTAGATGAGAATGAGAGGAGACAGGAAATAAGAGTTAGGAAGCTTTTGTAATAGCTGGGGTGGCAGTGGAAAGAGGAAGCAAAGATAAGACTTGAGGGGTTCTATAGCTTGCCTATAAGGGTGAAGAGTGGTCTTGGGTCTTGTGTCCTTAGTACTTAATTTAGTCCCTGGGAAATTTCCTAGTGTTCCTATTTTTAAAGCTATAATTTCAGAAGTGATCTGAAAGTGGGAATAAATATTTACTACTGGGAAAATCTTGACTCCATGTTTGTTGACCTCAATATCATTGATCTCAGGCATAGATGACCCACCACTGGCATTCTCTGCTCCCATGCCATGTGGCTAAAGATTCCTATAAGATGTCATAAAATAATACTATTGGGTTACCTGAAAATTTGTGCAATATAACTAGGTCATTTGTAGTGCTCCGACCTTTATCTCATTTTTTTCTTACTTTCTGTGACTTTTCCTGAGGCTACGAGTTATGAGTGGGAGATGGTGGGAAGTCACTGGGGTATGCATTTTAAAGATGGTGACAAGCGTAATGTAGATTTTGGAGGTATTTGGAAAAAGGAGCGGTTAAGGAACTGGAGGTCATAACTGAAGAGGACAGTTACATGGATTCAGTAGACAGGGAATGTGAATAGGTTAAAGAGGATTCTTGTACTCAGAAGTAAATTCGTAGGTGAAGATTTTAGACGTTTAACAGTTTGAAATGTCGAGGTCTGCTCTGGGTGTCAAATACACTAAATACACCTCTACTCGTGGCCATAGGATTTGTGCTCCGAACACCAAATTGATTCCACATCAAAACTGCATCTGTCATTGACAAAAGTAATTCTTTGAGGACAGTCATGTTTGACATCCCTTTTAGTCCTATACTATCAGAATTGTGTTTTATCTCTAATTTTTGGAGGTTTTTTGTTTGTATAGAGTATGGAGAACAGCATTGTGAGAAAAAATACATAATATTTTCATATTTGATGGTAGGGTCATTTCTAAATCATTGTAACTTGAGCCAAAATGATGTGCCACAGGTTTATTAACCCTTGTTGGTCTGGCAGCGATGCACAAGTTCTTATTATACTTATCCTGTGGCCAAGTGAATGTAGATGATTTTTGAAAGTTATCAAATGGTCTTCTATTTTTTTCCTTATAACTCTTCTTGGTTTTTATTACAGTCTTGGTTTTCTAGCTCATGACTCTTCATATTTATATGCTTCAGCATGTCTTTTGTTCCATGTGGATTGTTTACTGTAGTGAAAAGTGTCATATATACATTCAGACCAAGAAATAAAAATTAGCCAGCATTCTTGAAACCCTTGTGAAATCTTCCCTCTGTAGCTGGAATTAGTTCCTTTTCATTGCTTTATAGTACTGATTGTTTTAATGTACCACGAGAAATTAATCTATTGATGAATGTTTGTTTTTCCAGTTTAGGGCTCTTATGTAAACTGCTGCTGTGGATATTTTTTTATTAAAAGTAATAGACTTAACTTTTAATTATTTTTTATTGAGGTATAATTGACATAACATTTTTAGTTTCAGTTGTACATTATTTGATATTTGTGTGTACTGTGAAGTGATCACCACAATAAGTCTAGTTAACATCCATCATCACCAGTTATAATTTTTTTTATGATAAGAACTTTCAAGATCTGTTAGCAACTTTCAAATCTGCAATACAGTATTATTAACTACAGTCCTCATACTGTACATTACATGACTGACTTTGTAACTGAAAGTTTGTACCTTATGGCCCCTTTCATGCATTTCTCCTACCTCCACTCTCTAGCCTCTGGCAACCACCAATCTGTTCTCTGTATCTATGTGCTTGTTTTTCTTTTTTTTAGATTCTACATAGATTGAGATCATACGGTTTTTGTCTTTCTCCGTCTGACTTATTTCATATAGCATAATTCCCTCAAGGTCCATCCATGTTGTTGCAAATAGCAAGACTCCCTTCTTTTTTATGGCTGAATATTCCATCCGTGGATACTTAGGTTGTTTCCATATGTGACTTCTGTAAATAATGCTGAAATGAACGTGAGGATAGTCATCCTTTAGTATCCTAGGGGCGTTGGTTCCAGGGCCCCCCATGGATACCAAAATATGCAGATACTCAAGTCCCTTACATAAAAGGCATAGTATTTGCATATAACCCATATACATCCTCCCTTATACTTTAAATTATCTCTAGATTACTTAAAGTACCTAGTACAATGTAAGTGATGTGTAAATAGTTGTAAATGTCTTTTTTTATAATAGCCTTTCTTACAGGTGTGATATTATTTCACTGTGGTTTTGATTTGTATTTCCCTGGTAATTAGTGATTTTGAACACCTCCTGTACCTGTTGGCCATTTGTATGTCTTCTTGGGAAAAATGTCTATTTATCTCCTCTGCCTTTTTTTTTTTTTTTTTTTTTTTTTGTGCAGTACGCGGGCCTCTCACTGTTGTGGCCTTTCCCATTGCGGAGCGCAGGCTCCGGACGCGCAGGCTCGGCCATGGCTCACGGGACCAGCCGCTCCGCGGCACGTGGGATCTTCCCGGCCCGGGGCACGAACCCCTGTCCCCTGCATCGGCAGGCGGACTCTCAACCACTGTGCCACCAGGGAAGCCCTCCTCTGCCCATTTTTTAATTGGATTGGGTTTTATTTTTTTCTTTGCTATATATTAACCCCTTAGCAGATACATGATTTGCAAATATTTTCTCCCATTTGGTAGGTTTTGCCTTTTCATTGTGTTGTTTCCTTTGCTGTGCAAAAGCTTTTTAGTTTGATGTAGTCTCACTTGTTTGTTTTTGCTTTTCTACCCTTTTTATGGCTTGGATATGGTAGAGCGATCTTTATTTATGCCTGATATTTTATCTTATAATTGGAATTTCATCTTCTGCCTTTAAATAGTCAAAGCTTTAATTAACCCTTTAATATTGTCTAGTTTGAGACCACAAAAATAATACCTATATGAGCATCATCACTAACTGGTAACATTAAATACTGCATAATAATGTTTATGTAACTGTCTTCATATGTACATTTTCAGAGGAGAAACAGTGTTTTAGTAATCTTAAATACCTGCTTCATATGACAGCACCAGAGATATAGGGGAAGCTGAATAAATGCTTTAACTATTTATAAAAATATTTTTTGGAGACACGACAAAACAGTTGGTATCACATGTAAGTTTTTTTAAATGAATGATTCTTTTACAACATGGTAAGAGTAAGTTTTCATAAGTCCTTCCTGCATCACCAAATGCTGATCATTTCAGAATGAATAGCAATATGCCATTTCAGGGATCAGTGTCATTTACGGATGTGACTGTGGACTTCACCCAGGAGGAATGGGAGCAACTGGACCCCTCCCAGAGGATCCTCTACATGGACGTGATGCTGGAGAATTACAGCAACTTACTATCAGTGGGTAAGGACAGCTTTCAGGTGTAGTTCGTAGTTCAGTGTTGCCTAGTAGTGTTTAGGTCCTTTCTCAGTTACCAAAAATTATAAGATTCTGAATTGCTAAATGGTTTTGGTGTCAAGCTTCATGTATTTAAGCTGAGAGAGAGTGCAGACTCTGAAGTTCTACCTTCTTTATTTTCAGGCTTTCTGAAGTCCAAGCAGTTAGGAGCTGTGTTCCATTATCAAGTTCTCTGATATTATCAAACCAGATTTTCATGTTGGATCAGTGAGAAGAGTTATGGATACCAGAGTTAGAATTTCCAGTTCACAACTTTCTAGGGAAGATGTGGAAGGTCGGAAGGAGAATCAGATAGAAGCCAGTGGAAGTAATATCCTAGAGATTATGAATGGGTTGGTATCTTTGAAATATTTTTTAGGAATCTATTTTTCAATTCCCTAAACCTTTAGAGGTAGCTGAGAACAGATGACTTGTGCACCTCATATCCTGAGTCATACCTCCAGATATCAGTCTCTTGCTGCTTAACGTTTTTCCTGTTTAATTTCTATAGCTATTCACCTCTCACACTCAAGCCTTGATTCTTGCCTAACGTGTTTTAAACCTTTGTTCTGTGATTAGTTCCTCTTTCATTAGTATTCTCACTTAGCCTGAATGGTGACTTCTATATTTTAGGTCATGGGAATTGGTTTAGTAGCCTCAAGGAAAATACAAACTTTTCAGTACAAGAGTGACACAAATGGCAGCAGGATCACAAGAGTCAGGAATAACCAGTAATACAGAGATCAGAGTAAAGGTTCTTAAAGCATAGCTTGAGGCCGGGTAAATTTGATCCTTAAGATTCCTTCAAATAAAAGCAGGGACGAGAATGGTTTGAGGAAGAAATTAAACACATGAAAAGGAGAAATACAGGATACAGTGATGGAAACACTTTCTCTCTCCAACAACTTCGATAGAAAAAGTGGTGCAACCCGCAGTAGCAGTGAGCAATTCTGTCAACAATACCTTAGATCCATTTTATATTTCCTACAGAATCTATGAATTTCTGGATTTTGCCTTCCACTTGGAAAAGTCCTACTTGGGAGATTTGGAGCTCTGCATAGGGTTCTCTCTGCAAACCTGTGAGAAAGGTTGCCTTTAGGACGTTATTGGTGCAGATGAAAGGAGGAGAGAAAAGGGGAAGGAGCCTCGAGCATGTAGGTGAGGTGGCCATCCGACCACAGTAATTCAGAGTCTCAGTGTTGGCTGCTCAACTTAGATCTGCCTGGGTTTTTTCCCTTAACATCTCCTTATTTTCTTGGTCTGTACCAACTGGTGTCCTTGAGGACACCAAATAGCCTTTGTCTCTGGAATTGCCAGCCTTCTTACATCATTTGTTTTTATTTATTTCCCTTCACCCACTTTTAAGGCCGTTTTGTAATCTGGCAGTGCTATTTGTGCCCATTTTGCCACAGGCTTTGTCTTTTTCTTTCAGAGTTTAAGAGCTAGGAGCACTTGGAACTGGGGACTTTTTTATACTGGAAGACTGGGTCCCAAACTAAAGAGGTAGCCCTACAATGGAACATTTGTGGAGTCTTCACATTCCGTAACATTGTGGTGAAAGGGCTGACAGAGTATTTCATGTGCTCTTTCCTAGAGGTATGGAAAGCTGATGACCAGATGGAGAGGGACCACAGAAACCCAGATGAGCAGGCAAGGCCATTTATAATCTTTAAGAACCAAACCCCAATTGAAGAAAGAGATAATCTCTTTGGAAAAACATTTAATCTTAGCACAGACTTTGTTTCTTTAAGACAAGTACCCTATAAATATGACTTATATGAAAAAACTTTGAGATATAATTCAGACTTACTTACTAGTGATAGAAGCTATATAAGAAAGAAAGACGACGACTGTAATGGATTTGGAAAAGCACTCCTCTATCTGAAGCAAGAGAAAACCCATACTGGAGTGGAATACTCCGAATATAATAGAAGTGGAAAAGCCTTCAGCCATAAAGAAGGCATTTTTAAACACCAGAAAATCAGAAATTTGGTGCAACCTTTTATCTGTAATTATTGTGACAAGGCATTCTCATTTAAATCACTCCTTATTAGTCATAAGAGAATACATACTGGAGAAAAACCTTATGAATGTAACGTGTGTAAGAAAACCTTCTCCCATAAGGCAAACCTCATTAAACATCAGAGAATTCATACTGGGGAGAAACCCTTTGAATGTCTTGAATGTGGAAAAGCTTTCACCCACCAGTCAAACCTCATTGTACACCAGCGAGCACATATGGAGAAGAAGCCCTACGAATGCAGTGAATGTGGCAAGACCTTTGCCCAGAAATTTGAACTTACTACACACCAGAGAATTCATACCGGAGAACGACCCTATGAGTGTAATGAATGCGCCAAAACCTTCTTCAAGAAATCAAACCTCATTATACACCAGAAAATTCACACAGGGGAGAAACGCTATGAGTGCAGTGAATGTGGAAAATCCTTTATCCAGAACTCACAACTCATTATACATATGAGAACTCATACCGGAGAAAAACCCTATGAATGTACTGAATGCGGCAAAACATTCAGCCAGAGGTCAACTCTTAGATTACATTTGCGAATCCACACAGGAGAGAAACCATATGAATGTTCTGAATGTGGGAAGGCCTTCAGCAGGAAGTCCCGACTCAGTGTCCATCAGAGGGTTCATACCGGGGATAAACCCTGAGACTGCAGCCAGGTTGTACTGTGAGAACCCTTCCAATAGGGAGAAACCTTGCAAAGGTGCTGAAGGAACATGGGAACTCATACTGAGATACAATCTGTCAACTCAAAGTGTGTAAAAATGAGGTCCCCTAAGAACAATATTGTACTGATCGGTATATGATACCCAACTAAAGAATACATATCAGAATATATCCAATTGTAAATAGAAGTACTTGGCTGTATTACAGTGAGTTTTTTAAAATCTTGAATAATTCATTCAATAATGAAATATTCTGGGCAGCAGGCAGCATAAAGGAGCTAGAGACAGTACCCTAGGAATTCAGTGGTTATGTGCGAGAATATGCCACAAAAAAAAACTATATTTTAGATCTGCACATGTGAATTTAACAGACACTAAGAGTTTGGAATTCTTGTCTTGATAATCAAATTAGGACACATCAAACATGATTTTCCATACTGAACATGTGTTTTTCAGTACCTTTACAATCCTGTCTGCATTCCAAATGAAACACATAACAGATTTCCATAGCATGTAGCATATGTTTTCTCCTCCTCCTTGCTGGCATATATAAGTTGGTATGACCATTGTTATTGAGCTGCCTCTTCAGTCAACAGAAGACAATGTTGTTGAAGTTTTAACCTTTTGGGTTTGCTGAAGATTTCCTAGAAGTATTATTGACATAAATATGCAAGTGTGAGATAATTAAGAGAGACTGAAGAGAGTGAAAGGCAGCAGATGTGGGTTCTATCACTCAGTGTGCACCACGGAATAAATGGGCTGTGTAAAGAATAGCCGCACCCATCATGCTCGTTATTTTCCACTGGGATATTTACATACAAATGCAAATGCATGTCTTTTACCAAAATATTGTATAACCCAGAAACTACATGTATTTTTGGGTGTTTCGCTATTTCTCTTAATATTTTATAAATTGTCTTGCAAAAAATAGAATGCATATGTAGTTCAAGTGTTACGTTTCAGAGACTTTAGAGGAAAAATAATTTAAGAAACTGTCAATAAATGTCTTATATTGCTTTTTAAATTTTCCATGTGCTTAGTCCACTTTAGAAATAAATTTTTGCAGAATTCTGTTTAAAGGAGGCATTTCTTCCATGAATTTCACTATCATCAACCAAAAGCATTCCCTTTGGAACCTGACTTAGTGTAAGTTACAACTTTGCTTTAAAGGCTCACAAACACTTCATAAATTAGACTTTAGTGATCTCCCCATATATTGATTATTAACCTTAAAAAAATTCTTATTTTTGCATAACTCAAAGATTCCATTTTAGGCTTGATTTCAAATTCACCAGTTCCTGTCCTTATCCATCACAAATCATGCATTAGAATTGTAAATGGCCACTGTAACTGGCCTTTTTTTCTTTTGTTTTTGAAGATTATTGATGTGCTATGACTGTATATGAATGTGAATGATTTTTCTGAACAAATTTATCAGAATATCCGTAGTTCAGTAAGTCTTTGTCTTTCTAAATTGTCATCTTATCTATAGCAATGGCAAGGAAGCAAGGGAAGAGGTTAACTTCCTACACTGCTGTTAGAAATACAAATTGTGACAACCTCCTTGGAAATAATTGACTGTCTTCTAACGTTAAGAACACACATGCAGTTGGCTCTTGAACAGCACCAGTTTAATACGCACAGGTCTGCTTATACACGGATTGTTTTCAGTAAATGCTACAGTCCTACACAATCCATGGTTGGTTGAATCTGTAGATGCAGAACCTTGGATACGGAGGACTGACTTTATACTTGGGTTTTCGACTACACTGAAGATCCGTGCCTTTAACCCCTATGTTATTCAAGGGCCAACTGCACTCTTCAACCCAGCAGACTCACTTCTGGGAATCCATCACTAAGAAAAACAATAACGTGCCAGTACCTAATACTGTGTGTTTATCAATGTAGATTGTATTTTTTGGTAAGGACAAAAAAGGAAACAATGTGAATGACCATCAGTAAGGGAATGATTGAATAAACTGTGGTAAAGATATACCACAGCTGGACAGTATTCCATAGGAAAGAGCGTTTAGGGGCAAATGCCACCAAGACAGATGGGGGGAGGGGGGAGAGAAAAAGTGTGTGTGCGTGCCTGTGTGTGTGTGTGTGTGTGTGTGTGTACACCAAATTTTGTAAAATAAAAATCTAAAAATGTTGTGTTTATGTGTATTTGTATACGATTTTATGGGCCTGGAGAATAGAATTCTCCAAAGTCAAAAATATAATTAACATTAATTTCAATGGAAAATTTTTCATGCATTCCTTAGCCTCTAACATTTGTTTATTCTGGAATACCAACATAACCCATTTAAGTGGACACAGTTAACTAACATGAGTTAACATAGCATGACATAAAGCAGTTCCCTTACTCTGTACGGTGGCCGGCTGCTGTGTTCTGCTCCAGCTTTCATGGCTGTGTTGTAGTCTTGAGCCTGGGTTCTCAACTAAAATACATATTTGACATTCCTTGTTGACATGATGGAACCTTTAATACAAAAAAAAAAAAAGACTAGTAAACACCATTGTAAAGCAATTATACCCCAATAAAGATGTTAAAAAAAAAAACATAATTTTGACAGAAGCATAGAAATTAAAAAAAAAAAGACTAGTAAAGACAGAAAAACCAATGAAAAAAATGCAGGGAATGCCAAGGTTATCATTACTCTAAATTAGCAAATAACAAATGCTTTGAGAAAATTCAGCATAAACACCTTTACAATTAAACAAATGACCGTAGGGGTGACTGTCCTTTCATGAGCTGTTTGCTCCCAAGGCCTTAGAAATCCAGATCAGAACTCATAATTTTTTTTTTAAAGTGCCTTGTAATCCTCATATACAGAAGTGGTCTTAGAGGAGGAGACTCCTGAAGACGAGTTCTTATAGCCTGGACATATGACTTTATTTCATCAACCTTACAGCAAGCTAGAAGGCAAGTTGTCATTTCACTGGTGAGGTGCAGGCCAAGAGGCGGGACGGTTTGCACAACAAATTCTACCTGTCTGACTCCAAAACCCATGCCCACTGTACTTGACCCCGTGACGTCTTCACTCCACTGATTTTTTTTTTTAATTTATTTTTGGCTGTGTTGGGTCTTCGTTGCTGCACATGGGCTTTCTCTAGTTGCTGCGAGCGGGGGCTACTCTTTGTTGCGGTGTACGGGCTTCTCATTGCAGTGGCTTCTCTTGTTGCGGAGCATGGGCTCTAGGTGCGCAGGCTCAGTGGTTGTGGCTCACAGGCTTAGTTGCTCCGCAGCATGTGGGATCTTCCCGGCCCAGGGCTTGAATCCATGTCCCCTGCATTGGCAGGTGGATTCTTAACCACTGCGCCACCAGGGAAGTCCCCACTCCACTGATTTTTTTCTTTCCATTTCCATAGATATCTTTTTCATAACTAGAGTGCTTAAGTATTTTAACTTTTCCACATTGTTTTATGCTCTATAAATCTAAAGTTGGGAACATCTTCTTGGTATAAAGCCAGTGTGGCTAAATGGAATCGGTGTCACTCTACTGTTGCTAAGTCTCAGGACTAGTCAAATGGGGCATAAGGTGACAGCACCGTAGGCAGGAGGCACAAAGCTCGCAAAGACGTGGAAATGTGAGACACTGGGTCCTCCTCAGGAGGTGGGGGCTTTGTGGGGTGCTGCTGGAGGTTTAGTCCCAGCCACCCCTGCTGTCTCCCCTGTCACATTCACTACTCTCGCCCACAGTCCATCTTCATCTCCTCAGCTGAGTGACCTACATAGAGCCCTGTGCCATCCCCAGGCCGTGTGTGGCTCAACCCCTTACCTGATTGTCACAGCAAATCCTGCTGGCCAAAGTACAGTGGACTCTTGGGACCTGGTCTCCACTCGACAGTCTTGTGACTTCATCCGGTCTGTTCTCTGGTGTCTGGAGAAGGAAACTCCCATAGCTCATCCTGCTGAGCACAGTCAGGGAACCGTGGCTGGGATCCCTCTGCTTTATTTTCCAGACCTCAGCTGGATGTTAGTGACCGTCTTCTCCTCAGGTCTTAGCTCTCCTCCTGCCCCCAGAGAGAGGCTGCCCTTCTGCCTCAGACACGCACATTGAATCATTTCATGTGTGACACATGTTTTAGTAATGTAGAACCCGCCTTACTCGGTAGTATAAGGACTGTCAGAATGTTAAACAAAATGCAGCTAACAAGCCAAAACATATAAAAATGTTAGGGACTCGTGTGAAAGAACCCAGAGATGGGTACTGAAGAACCTAAGGGAGCATAAAACCCCATGAGACATCTGGACCATGGCTACTGACACCAATCGTGGCAGCAGATGAGGAGACGCTCATTCATTCCAAAAAGACACTGTAAGCACCAACAAGGGAGCAGGCACTGTGGGCTCCTGGTGAACAAGATTATACTGTGACAGAGGGCTCCAGCCCTTGGGGCATTTACATATAAGCAGCGCATCCCAGGAGCAGACAGACAACCCAGGCAGAGGATAGGTTCCCCGAAGCTGGAAATGCAGGTATGGGCTGGGCCTGTCCCTGTGAGAAAAATGAGAAGCCATAGGAGGGTCTTAAATAAGAAGTAGCATCCTCTGCTTTGTAAAAAGTGAATGAGCCTGATACTAACGGGGAGGAGAATTTGGGTAGAGCTGCCCAGAAGCAGAAACCCCCTCTCAGGAAGAGACGCCTGAGAGGTGGCGTTCTGCCAATTCATAGCTCCCGTCTGACTGCTTTCAACAGAACTCCTTCAGAGAGTAAGCAGTGTTTCCTCCTGTTACTGACTGTTGGCCATTAGTGAGAAACCATCTTGCAAGGATCCAGGTTCACTTCCTTCCGCCTTCCTAGATCTGTTCCTAGTGTCTTCTGGTGTCTTCCCTATTCCTCCTGCCTCCAGCCTATCCAGACCCCTGAGGATTACCTATGCCCACCTCAGAACTGTGGAATTCCATGCCCTGAAAAACATTTACAGTAGTTCATGCAGGTTGTTTGGGGGTGGAGCTGACATTCGCACTTTTCCTTTGTCTGGTTGATGCTGAAGGTGGGAGGAGGAAGTTATTCTGTGTCCCTGCAGGTCGCTGAGGCCATTACTGAAAGTGAGAAAACTTGGGGCAGCAGGTGGGGCTTGATACCTCTTAGGGAGATGAAGAGACACCAGGGCTGAGCAGAGACTGCCCCCTGAGATACGGGAAGTCCTGTCATGCGGGAAGTATGCACTTGAAGATAGCAGGAGGCCTGTGGGGCTGTGGCCTCAAGATTATTTTGCTCAGAGCAACAGACGGTGTAATGTTGAAAACAAGCCCGGCTTTGTCTGTGATGAGGACCTACGGGCGGGCCTGGCTCTGATCAGCTGATTTGGCTCTTCTGGGTACAAGAGCAGCCTGAGGGGTAGGCACCGGACGGCTGAGCCTGAGTAAGGAAGAGGCAGCTGCGGGTTGCCCTGCTGAGATAAAAACTGTCATCGACGGAGCAGGCCACCTAGAGGAGCGGGTGGAAGAACGTGACCTCAAGGGGGTCAAGCTGGTGGGGATGTCAGTATGGCTCCCCTGTGGCCTCAGGAGGTCAAACAACAACAATAGCAGCTGCCAGCAGACCAGTAGTGGTAATAATAGTGAGACAGGCTGGGACCTGGGACCCTTGGCTGCAGTGCTTACACCTGGACAAACGTCTCCTGGAGCAACAATACAGAGAAATTATCAGGGACTAAAAACCCTGTGCTCGCACAGTTGGGGCAAATCATGGACAACAAGGTACAAAAAGACAAAACCAAACCAAACCCAACTGCCACTTCTGAAGAGCTGGGAGCAAAAACAGGGTGTCGGGAGCAAAAGCAGGGTCCTGCGCATGCCCCCTGCACTCACCACCACCAGAGTGGGGGGCAGACCAGCTAAGCCACCCCTCCAGTGTGAGCCCTGGACACACCCCTACCCTCACCTCATATAAAGAACCAGCTCGCCCCCCCCTTTATGGAGCGAGAAGGGGAACCTGTTACTTGTTCTCGCTCCCTCCTGCTGCAGCAGGGGCCCCAGTAAAGCCTTGCCTGAATTTCTTGTCTGGCCCC